TAACGCAGCGCTCTTGAAGACGTCGTACATATTTGTTTCGCAATAACTGTGCAGCCAATATACCGTTTAGGTATCTTTACTTGTGGCACTCTAAATTTAATGGACATAATTTATTTTATATAGACAGGATGATATTTTTGAAAAATGACAAAACAAATTAAAGTATATGGAATATATTAAGGAGTGGGACAATAAACAATAATATTCCTTATCCTTAACCATATTTTGGTGGCTTTTTCAGCTTCTGATTGAGACGCATTCTGACTGGCTTTATTTTTTCTTACATCGACTAAATAAGGACAAAATTTAGTTAAAATTTAAAAACCGTTTTACCTTGCATCAACTTACCTAAATTGCTTTATTGATGTTGATAATATAGGTATATTCTGAAAATTGTGCTTTTTGAAGGCGCCAGGTCCAGTTCATCCGAGGAGTTGAATTTTTAGATTATTCTGGCTAATATGTTCCTACATACTTCTTCAGTGTTTTTGCCCCCTAGTATGCCAAGACTATTTACCTGAAAAATTATTTCTCTTTTGTAAATCCATTTTTTAAATCACAAAAATAGAAAACGGGAAACGGGGGCAAATTAGGCATTCCAGGTTAATGTCATAACCGATCCGCCATATTAGTTTGGGAGGCACACAAAAGCCAAACATAACCTGATTCAATGTTAAACCAAGAATTTTCAATCTATTTTGTGAAGATGCCTTCTATTTGCTGCGTTGTTAGGTGCTCTAGTAGAGCGGAAAGAGATAAAGAAAGGTTTTTCAGGATCCCAGCAGCATTAAGAGATCTAGGGAATCGTCTAAACGAGCTAAAAAAGGAACGACGAAATCTGTGGATTAAATGCCTCAAAAGGAGAGATTTAACTGAATCGTTTCTGAAAAATGCTCGTATTTGTTCAAAACATTTTGTTAATGGTAAGTATTATGACTGTCTTGTTAAAATACAAAAACACATTTATATTGAAAAATTGGTTTGTTTCTACAAGTAATATTTACTTTTAATACCTTTTAGGTAGTCCAGCAGAACTTGAATAACCCTTTATACGCCTTCAACTGCAAGCCTGTGTAGTAACTGTGGGTGTGGGTCAAATATTCGGATAAATCCAAAATTGAAACCTCTGGCAACTCATTGATACTTAAAGTAAACTCATTAGGTAGAAGTTTATAAGGATCTATATTGGCAATTATTTGTATTTTTTGGTCATACCGACATTTCACATCACTAGCTAACGATGAATAATAGTCAATGTTAGCCATTCTACCACAAAAACAACTTAAAACTTATTGAGAGAATTTAAGAACGCAAAAATTCGGAAACACAATCTCAAAGAACGGTGTAAATACTGATCTAGGCTTTGTTTGCCCCCCAGCGGACCTGTCAAAAGTCACGTGACCTGGAATGCCTAATAGAAAAACGATAAAAAACTTAGGTTATGATAATACGGGGGCCTTTGTTTTTGTTTATTTGTATCAATTTTTCACCTACCTTGTTTCCACTTGTTGAAAATAATGCATCTTGTATACGTAGTAATACAAATCACAGGTGAAAGACACGTGAAAAACACCACAAAAATTATAAATCAAAAACGCTGCCCTGCATCACAGTGAAACAATACAATACAATAAAATAAAACAAAATGACTACGCTCACAACTCTACGGCAAAAAATACTGTGCACGCGCAAATTGGCACATTTCTTTACAGTAACTGCACTAACACTTTACAACACCCATACAGCAAACATACGTACTATGTACGTACCCGGTACCTAACTTTCGGACGAACGCCACTTCCCATGTACGTACATGTACGTACCAGTACGTACTATGTGCGTACCTGGGACGTACATTTTCCAACGCTATGTACGTCCGAGGTACGTCCCATGGATGTGGTAATGTACGTACTATGTACATCTTCCGTACTAACACTCCACGTACGTACATTTTATGACCTATATGGGACCAATATTGGCGGTAAAATGGACGGAATATACGTACATGGTACGTACCATGTACAGGGTTTTCCCGTATATTTTTGCACCCCACCTGAACAGGTTCATTGAATAGGTATCCAAAAGGTGTAAATACAAATGTGCATTCACACCTTTTTGATAGGTAGGTACCTACCGCCTTGTTCAGGTGAGATGCATAAATATAAGGGAAAACCCTGCACATACAATTTCCTGGTGGTAAAGCTCAAAATTAAAATTTTGGGCTTTCATTGTCTTAATACTATTTAAGTACATAACATTTCAATCAATGTACAATTTATGAACCTTTTCAGTTTTCATGTTTATACCCTAAACATTGTGTACATTGATTAAGAGGGTGTATTTAAATACAATTAAAGACAGAAAAAAACAAATTTAAATATTTAAAATTTGTGGTTACCTGTGGGCTGTGTTATGTGTACACATTTTAGTACTATACATTCAAATTGGTTTAAAATGTTTATTCAAGTGATTGAAAATCATGAACAAACGAAACGGAAAAGAAACACGTTAAAATATAAAAATAGAACTTAAACTATCAACTCTCAAAAAATAAAAATGGACTATAAATTCTTATACAATAAATCAAAACTTATACGAAAAAATAAATAAAAACTCTCAAAAAATAAAAATGAACTATGAATTCTTATACAATAAATCAAAACTTATACGAAAAAATAAATAAAAACTCTCAAAAAATAAAAATGAACTATGAATTCTTATACAATAAATCAAAACATATACGAAAAAATAAATAAAAACTCTCAAAAAATAAAAATTAACTATCAATTCTTATACAATAAATCAAAACTTATACGAAAAAATAAATAAAAACTCTCAAAAAATAAAAATGAACTATGAATTCTTATATAATGAATCAAAACAAAGAAACCGAATTCCGCCGCGGTCGGTTTCGGCAGCACACATCAGTCCTAGGTAACCTCGACCTGAATGGTTGAACTACTCCCACCTAAAAATAAAAAAGCAAAAATACATTTCTCCTTGCTTTTCTTTGTGAAAAATTTAATAATACAATTCTGGCCAAACTCTCATAGGTAAAAACATATATTTTATGCACTTTAGGGATTTAAAGGATACTTTAAATCCCTAGGGATTTAAAATTTACTTTAAATCCCACTTTTTTCTTGGAAAATAGGGATTTGAAGTAGTCAGATTTTGATGCAATACGTGGTGCGTTCAAGAGTTTGTGCGTATGATTTTTTTTTTTATTATTTAACGTTTTACCTATCCTAAAGTGCATAAAATAGTATATTAACCTCGTGATTAAAGTGTCTTTTAATCCCTTGGCGAATTGTAGCCCTCCCTACGGTCGGGCTACAAATTTTTCGCTGCGGGATTGAAAGGGACACTTTAGTCCCTAGGTTAATAATATACTATTTTTTCGAGCTTACATTCTTGTGTCCTTCTTGTCCGCTCAGCGGCTCTTCTGAGCCAAGCCTTTATCAATTCTTCGGTTTCCTTCCTATCTTTTGCTTTTTTTGTGTTTTCTGCTGATTCTGAAATCAAATTATTTACCTATAACTAGGTTTCCAGGTCAATAATAAGTGCGGCTAGATCCATCGTTTGTTAAGTTCTTGTTAACTAACAATATCCTTAGAATGTGCCACACAGAAACAATGTCATATTGACATTGGCACACTCTTAAGGTTTTTGTTAACTAACAAGGGCTTAACAAGCGATTGATCTAGCCACACAAGGAGTTAAATGTCATTCACTGAAGATTTTAACTACTGAAAGTTTAAAATTTGAAACAAGTCATAGCTGAGTTCGTTGAAGTCATGGTAACTTACCCACAATAAGGCTAACAACCTGGCCAAATTGTTCTTTGAAGCCTGATTTCTTCCTTCGTCCCAGCCAACTATAATTACACGCCAGTTTGCTGGACATTAAAAATGCTAAGCAACGCTTCACAAAATCATTATTGTCCGCTCCTCCTAGCCTTGAAATTTCAAAAATCTGAAATTTTTGGAAAATTAAATGTAGTATGTAAGTGTGTTTATTTCCTATTAGCAGTTACTTACACTTTTTTCAAAATTATTTTCATGTTTTAAAAATTCATTCAGCCTCTGAAGATCATCAGCTTCAACGATTGGCAGTTGGAAATCTTTAAAAATACTATATTTACTTAAAGGAGAGGTTGTATCCTTCTGAGTTGCAACAGGAGCTGCGATATCCTTCAGAGCTTCTCTTAGTTTAATTTGTTCTATAAAAATTTTATCCAATAATTTAGCTAAAAAATACTCTACAATGCCTGTATTACATAGGAGAGAAAAAAACTTACTTTGATAAGGGCAACACTTGCCGCAGTTCTCAGATGAATGTTCTGAAAATAACAAAAGTTACCGATAATAATTAATTTAATTATTGCAAGATAAATAAAACAAACCTTTCTGGCTACTGCCTGGACTGGATGGATAAGATGGCTTGGTGGTAGGTATTTGTGAAGAACCTGAAATAGTATATTACAATCCGAGACGGGAAATTAGCTATTACTGTCGAGAGATTTTATAGTTTATCGAGACGCGTAGCGTCGAGATAAACTATATCTCGAGACAGTAATTGAATTTCCTGTCGAGCATGGTATACTATTTTATTTTTAACCATAATTTTTGCTAATTTAAATTAGAAATGAAATTGAATGTGAACGTAGCTTCATGTTATTTGCTTGAATTTTATGTCATTGTCATCAATTTTGAAAAAAATTTGACAATACCTGCCACATAAATATAATGAAACGAGGACGGGAAGTGAGGACGGGAAATGGGGACGGGAAGTGGAGCAGGGAAATGAAAAGACAGTAAAGTGACATTTCCAAATTTTTAAAAAGACTGTAATGTCAATATTACATATATGGTTAAAAATAAAATCAATTACCGCTTAAATCGAGGCTTGAATTGAAGGCCTAAATTATCAAAAAAGCATAAACAAAATGTGCACTGCTGTGAGATGCAAAAAAAAACAATTATACTACTTTCGCCTTTTTAAGAAAAATATGTAAATAATTTCAAGGTATAGTTGTACAAACCTTTTAGAACACCTCTGCCATTATAAGCATCTTGCTCTGATACATCTATACCTGAAAAAAAATCGAATGTACTAAGCTCATTCCTAATTGATACTGAAACAGTTATAATTAGGTATTATTATCTGGAAAATTGCATACAAATACAAACAATAAATCTACAGTTTTAAATACAAACCTTTATTTACACTGTGTTCTTCATGTTGAGTTTCACCTCGGGTTTCACTTCTCTGCGAAGTGAAAATATGTTTTTGTTTTGTAGTTTTTCTTGGTGTTTTATAGGAATCTAATAGAAAACAAATTAGGATCATAAAGTTTCAAGTTAATAATAGGTAAAAAAGTTACTCATACCTTTAGGAAATAATTTGCTGGGTTTTTTCTCAGATTTGCCTTTTGGATGCTTGTATTGTGCTAAAAAGTATATTTAATTTCAATAAACAAACAGCTCATCCTCGACTACTATAAATTACTTAATAGTGCTTATGGTATGTAGTACCAAGCCACTCAATCCACAATCTTTTTTTAAACACAGTTAATTGACTTACGTGGTTCTTTGCGGATATATGACAGTGAATTATTATTCTCTTGATCATCATCATCATCAGATGAATAAATAACTTTTTTCCTCTTTCTTTTTCTATTTTCCATATCGGTGGTGCTCAGGTCACTGTCTGACTCTGCCTTTTTCGCTTTATTCCTTGCTGTTTCATAGCTTCCTAAAAAACTCAAATGAAATGAAAATAACATTCTTGTCACCTATTGGAGGATATTAAACAAAAAATGGGTTCAAAAGAATCTCTCTTACTATAGGTCGCATTCAAAAAGGTTTTGATGTCGTAGTCTTGCCAATGTGTGTCAATGATGCAGTTTTTTATTGCATTTATAATTTTTTCTGTGGTCCATGTTGCAGGTGGCCAAAGGCACTTTTCGTCGTTGATCAGCCATGCCGATGGCACTGCTTCCACTGAATCGTCCTTTATAAAATGGACCACGGTCCATGTTTTTTCATTCATATTTGTTTTAATCGGTATTCAGCAGCAGCAGTGTTATCACAGTGTTATATCACCGGTGTGTATTGCTTCTAAATAGGGTAAAAAAGTAAGTGCCACATTAACATGTTATTCTAGACTTTGGTCATATAAAATATAAATATTTCACATATTATTATTTAATTATACAATATTATTAATTCGTAATTTTAAGAAAAAGTCAATATAGAAAAAATTACTATAATTCAGCTCAGTCAGTATAATGAATTGGAGAAGTAGGTATTTAACGTTATTTTCATACTAAAAATATTAGGTGGGTATGTACTAAGATCAATATCACAATTCAAAGATCATTCCTTATCATAAATTTATCCAATGCTATTTTTTGCCTAAAAATTAACAAATTGGGCCAATTAGACATTCATAGGCACTAACTTCACACTATTGGATTAAATATATCAGCTTTACCTAATTACCACTAATTAATTACATTTATTTTTTGTAAAGATATTTCTTGAAAAGATTTAAAATGAATAAAGTAAAGTAACAAAATCAACATATTGTGTGCAATAAAGGAAAAACTACTTCCATGGTTTGATATGAAAGTTTGACAAATTTAAATATAATTTCATTCACGTTCCACATTTTCAAATCACTTTCTTCTTCCACTACATAGATTGACAGAAGAGAAGACTCACAAGGTTTGTGATAAAAATTTTGTTTTCTCTGATATTTAGTACCCACAATAAAATATTCTGATTCTACCTTTACAAAATTTTTAATTACAACTATGGAGCCGTCTTTTAATGAACAACAATTATCAGGAGCCATGATTGAAAGTTTAAAATCTTTAAATAAAACTTCAGAGAACTGCTCATTGCTTATATAATTCTGATTCGAGATAACACCCCCTTCGCCATGCCTTTTTTTGAAAACAGGGTAAGAAATATGTTGATTTGAACATGACTGGGATTCTTGATCAAACTTATCAATTTCTTCTTTTCTCTTAATGATTTGTTGTAATGGCTTTTCATTTTTCCTCAGACATTTTTTAAACGTCCTCATGAAATTTTCAAATTTGAAAGCACTAAATGTATACAAAGGACCAAAACTTCGGACATCATCAGCCAAATGGAGTAAATTGTGAATATTGTGTGAAATATATTCACTGCCGTATAAATCTGAAAAGCTTTCAACAAACCATTTAAGTAATTCTTCAGCATATTCTGCTTTTGACAAATCCGCTGTTGATAGCATAGTTAAAGCTGCATGCAAAGACAAAAAATGGACATATTGATCTGTGCTGAAAATATCTTTCAAACATACCGGACCAGTATAAAATAAAAATTGACTGTATTCTGTCGCTTTCCACCTTTTACTCTCATTTAGGCTGCGAGGTTTGCGACTGAATTCTGAAGGAATGTTAGTTCTTTGCAGCACTAAAGATTCTGTTATAGCATTTATTTGCCTAAAAGATAATTTAATAGGAGGTTTCCCATTGACCCACAAGTTAACAAGCAATCTTTTCATAACTCCCAAATATAAAAGATGCATTGGATCTAAAGCAAAAGACTTAATCATATCGAGTCCTGGAATACTTTCTAAAATTGAAGTTCCAGTATGATGGTCTTCATTCACTTTATTTCTAAACTGTTCGTCTGTCCTTAAAACAAAATCTAAATCTGGAAAACACACATTATTATTTACATATTCACCTTCAGTGAAGCATTTTGAGCATGAAAAGTATCCCGTGTGTCCTTTTGTGAATTTAATAAAAGATTTTGCTGGGACATCGCAAACAAAAGCTTTGATTTTCACAGAATATTCCACATTGTTAAAAACGAACCCATTATTTATAATATTTATAATTTCCGAAACAAAATCAGATAAAAATTCGTTGGCATCTTTTGGTTTTTCTAGACCATGGTAAACACCAGCAACATCCACAGCATTATGTTCAAAAATACTTATTAAAATTGGATACAGCTGGCTACTTGAACTGTCTGATATATTTAAACCATCAATGTTCACTAAAAGTTCTATTGAGTTGTTCTTTAGCACAGTTTTTGAAAGCAAGTTACGAATCGCCTCCTGTATACCAAAATGATAGTATTGCCCTGGGTAAACATCTCTGATAGAACTGATTTTTTTTGGGGTACGAAGAAGAGTTCTAGAATCTAAAGGTAAAGTATGGTGGTAGGGTTTAAGAATTTTTAAAAGATCGTTCATAGCAACATGCCTTATACCATGCTGTAGAGCCCACTTAGTTAAACTAAAGTTTATAGTTTGTGCTTCACATAAGACACTAGTCTCGGCACTAGTAGACTGTGACTCAAGCACATTAAGGGGGACAGGGGTGAGAGCAGTAGTGTCATCTTCACTAGAAGAAGACTGCAACTCAAGCACATTAAGAGGAGCAGAAGCTTCGTTACTCTCTTCTTCTGATGATGTTGGTGCTGCCAGTGCCTCACTCTGGTAACCAACACTCAGAGTCAGGCCTTCCCTAAAAACCTCGCTAAGGTTAACGTTGTCAGAGCGATCTGATGTACGTCTGTTTGGGTTAATATAAGGTGCCTCTTGATGGGCCCTTTTAAACCGCTTTAATTCCGCATTGGCCCTTTTGTAGTATTTACTGGAAGCACTGCTACGCCACATTTTTCTCAAGCAAATAAAGGTAATTTGACTCCACTTACCTAAAAAACAGCCTTGTACAAATACAGAAACACAGTTTTTCACAACACAAACGTCACAAACCTTACACAAACAACGTGTTGGGAGTTTTCCAGAAATTTTTCACGTGGAAAATGCTGCAATGCATATCATATAACCTAAAAATAGCTTGGCTTGACATACGACTACGGAACTAACGGAACAGATCCGATTACTAATCCGATTTCAAGCCAATGTATTTTGTCTCTATTCAATCGTGTTCATTGAAGAAGGACAAACAACAAACAGCTAGTGATCGGGTTCGCTCGCAATGCCTAATGAATTTGAAGTTCATGACGTAATTGATGGCGCCATCTCTCGGGTATTATAAAAAGCAGGAAAGGGGAACTTTTACGACCCTACAAGATGTAGAAAAATTGGTACTTAAGGAACTCATTCATAGATGGCGACGAAATAAAATTATTATTGTGTAAAAATAACAAGTGCATTGAAAATTATCGTTAATTCTTGAATTGCATGGATGCTGTATGAAGCTCAAATTATCACTTCAAAACAATTTTGGCGATGTCACGAGACGTGACCGATTATTCTGAACAGGAACTGACGGTTTTAAATTATGATAAATAGGTACCGTACTATTAAAATAAGGGTATTTTTTTACCTCTGTATGGTAGCTGCCATAATGATCAATCACAAACATTACCTACTATACGCACTTTTTGTTTGGTACCTTCAATGCAACATCATTTTCGTCCTATGTACGTACATACGTGTACGTCCAGTGTACGTCCATTTTTTGATCAAAACGCGTAATTACAAAATGGACATAAAATGTACGTCCCTGGTACGAACTGCTAGGTACGTACATGTACGTACAGTTTTTTACGTACCTAGTACGTCCCAAGTTGGTCCCGGGACGTACCGACGTAAAATCGACCTACAAAGTACGTCCCTGGTACGAAGTGTGCTGTATGAGCAGTTGTTGCATCAATATGCGCATGGGAGATCGAACTAATCTATCGCTTTTCCAATACAAAATCTGCAAAGCCGCTGCATATCAAATACTGCACTTCTAAAATACAGTATTCCCAATACAAGTACTGCGCAGAATTAATAAAACTATTTATGTGCTGTATTTGGGGTGTGTTCATGATACAGCAACATTACAGCGCCGATAAGTTGTGTTTGTTGGGTGACGTCAAAGTATTTTATTTTGTTTTGGTTAGATTTTTCTAACAGGTGCGGACAATGTTTATTGTTTAACGAGTGACGAAAACAGCAGTTTTTAACATATGTACGTAATGTTTTCAAGTTGCAGAAAATGATTTTTGACTAAAGTTGTTTATTTTTCAAGGGTCAGAAAAAACGTTTTTTGCAGATGCTAGTTTGTTAGTGCAATAAAAAATTTGGATTTTGTTGGAATTTTCGACATTTTTATACAATTATTATCAAAACCCAAGAATCGTGAACAGGATTACTCATCTTAATAAGGCGTATGTTCACTTTCTTGAGTAGACAAGGTCTGAGAGTGACGTCACCACAGCAGCTAATAGTGATGACGTCACCCGCAGACCTCGATGGAACGCTTGCGATTCAGGTTGTGCTCGTTATTTGAATTTTGCGTTGATTTTAAATGGAGAAAAGGTGATTTAAACAAGATTTTAATGTACCGCAATTCTTTTTTTCGAACTATAATATAGTGCTTTGAACTTGAATAATGCATTTTACTCCAAGAGTTGAGATCTGCGGCTGACATGGCAGTTGGCCGACACTTTCAGCTTTCAGCTCAATAAGCAGTCCTACTAGGGATTGAAAACAGGATAATCTCTGCCAATTTCTGGACACCTGAAGCAAAGATTATCCGTTTTTTTCCTACAAATGTGCTGAAAAAAAACTTTTGGCATGCACAATGAGTAGAGTAATCTTTCCGCAGGCCTTTGGGAAAAATTGTGCTCCTAACATTTGCGAGAAATGGTATTTCACGCACTTGTTAGAAAAATAACTATTTTTTTTTTCGAATTTGATATGAAAATATATTCCGCCCTGTGGGGTAACAAACGACTATCCAGTTCCACTCCAACCAAAAGGCAGTGCTTGCTCGTAGAATTTTTTTTTTTTTAAATTTAATTATACTCCTTTAAAATACAAAATTTGTAGTTTCAATTTTATTCAATTTTCAATTTATTCAATCATACGCAGTACAATCCAATTATAAAATGATATTATATTCTCTGTCAACTCAAAAGGCAGGGATAATAATAATAAAAAACTGTGGTGGCGTGCCGTGGCGCTGATTCCAGTCCCAACATGAAAATGCCAAAAATTGCAACGTCGCATATAAATTGTTTCGGGGCTACCACCAAGCTCTTGTCGTTCATTGTTGGATCAATACTGGCCCAAAAGTCATAAATCAACATTGGCCCAATATTTGAATTCAAGAGTCCAAAATTGTATGACTAAAATCGCACAATCTATTAGGACTAATATCGACCCAATATCCAATGCCGAGTCACCTGCATGCTAATAGTAGCCCAAAACTGTATTTCAATTTTGGTTTAACCATGATAACTGACATTGGGCGTCTTCTGTGTAGATATAGAAAAATGAAAAATAAAAAATATTGCAGAGTTTTAGTCACTTGCAAATTAAATTGGATTTCAGTTTCAGTTTCCAAAGTGGCTTGCTTGCGACTAGTGTTAAAATGACTTATCGATATAGTAAGCTAGGCATGATGATATTGTCTGTGTGAATTGAAAGAAAAAGCAGTTGGCACAAAACTGGAATAATAAAATATAATAATTTCTAAAAAAAAAATTATAAATAAAGCAGAATTGACAAATAAAAACGAATAGCCCTGTTTATTCCACCCGGATTCCAGATTACTTTTCTGCCCTAGTAGAAGCTAAAAATAATATTCATCAAATCAGTACCTATTGAAAATAGCTCTAAATATATAACCGTTTAGTCCTCTATTGCTCCTTTCTCCCTCTCGATCACCAGTAGTAGCTACTGAAATCCCAATGTTTTGGGTAATTTCCAAGTCTGTTGCAGACTGAAAATTCACCTTAACATTTTCTGAAATAAAAAATAAAATGAAATACCGGAAAGATATACAATATAAATACTAGGGTGAGGACAATAAAATAATTATATTCTACAGTGTGTGAAATATAGTGCATGCCATTATTTTGCCTACTCTAAGGTGTACATGCATCAAAAATATGAGGATTTGTATCTACCTAATACAGCTTTATAAAGGCTTAGTTTTGAAAAATTTTTCTTCTGTTTTTTTCGAGAAATTTGGGAATGCTGATTTTGTCGATTTTTCACTCAGGGCATTTAACTTAATATTTATGTCATTAATGTCTTTTCTGATCTCAGATATCTCATGGTTCGTTCCAGCGAAAGTTTTGGTAACTTTTTTCAACTCCTTAAGTATTTCAACATGATCTAAAAAAAAAATCAGATTATGAATTAATCTTGGGAAATACTACCCTTCACCATTTTGTTTATTTGTGGAATGAACTTGCTTAGATGTATCGGAATGCCGCGCAGCTGGGATGCTTCTGAAAATAAAAACTAATTTAATGTTGTTCAAATTAAATAAAAAAACATACAAAAAGTCATACCTTTTAATCTTGGAGTTTTGATTTGTTTCGTGGATGATACTTTGAGCATTTTAGGAGTACATATTGTTATTTGAAACAATTGACCTACTTTCGTTGCCAATACATCTTTTCAGGGAATCAACACTGCCTGTCTTCATAGCTTTTCCATCCTATATTTCTTTAATAGCTATTTCCTCCATTTCTTCGTCCTCTGAAGACAAATTAGATGTATATGTTGCCGTTTCAGCAAGTTTTTGAGCTTCTGCAATATCATAAACTGTAGCCTTACAGGTGGCAGCCCACTCGTTATAGTCGACATTTAATGTTGACTCAGCACAATTGTTCTTTAACTTTGTAGCCTTCATTCTTCCTCAGAACACTCGCTACAAAAATTTATTTTAAAGTGCGCCACCGATATTATGATAAACCTCCATTATGAGGTAAACTTGTGGCCCACTAGATATGCTCAGTCAAGAAGGAGCAGGTTCACTGGCTGTGTTCAATACTCTTAATATAAACGAATATAAACGTGGCTTTTACCAAAGATACACGAACACTTAAATTTAAACAGAATAACATAAACAAAAATCAATACAAGTGACCGGTTCAGCGGGCGTACGTAGAATGGGGATCTCAATCGTTCGATCGCAGGCGGCTCGTAAAATTGAGGAGAAGGACGCGGGGTGATTTCTTAAATTCTTAAATTTAAAATTTCTAACACGGCCAATCTTAATCAAAACATCGCTCTCGATGTTTTCTTCTTAAAGGTCCACTCTATCTTCTAGGTTTTCCGAGTCTTCAGTGTTTCCATCGCTGTAATTAATTTACAAGTGAGAAAACAGTATAGGCTTTTAAATGTTCAAATTCGGCCATATACACATTCCAATACAAAATACCTTTTAGATCAGTTACAACGCAAAACACATGTATTCTTGTTTTTATGTTCAACGAATGTGGATTAAATGATATACGCTTATACACAGTGGCGGCTCGTAATAAAGGGCTCTGGGGCGCCGTCCTCCCTGCAATAAATGAAAAATTAATTATTTTTGTTTTTCTTGAAACCTCAAAAATACTTCATACAGAAAACCAATAAAACAATAATATGAAAAATGAAATTCAAACATTCTGATATTCGGGCAAGTTATATCGAATGAGTAACGCATTTCGTTAGTTCTACGAGGACTACGGGCAACTTATACCTGCCGAACGCGGGCGCTAGAAAATCCGTCCCGGCTGCATGAAGGTAAGTAACACCCATTTGGCTCACGTTCGCAAATTTGAATGTAACACCCGATATCGCAACGGAGAGTTTCTTTATCGGGTGTTACTTACCCTGGATAGATTTGCATTCACGTAATGTTTAAAAATAATGCC